CGAAACAAACAACATAATTAATAGATTATTTATTGAATTTGGTCTATATAAAATATATACTTATAAATAGCAAGATTACTTGAATCACATTCTTTTTTCTTTATGCTTCTGAATCATATTATATTAATCCATAGTTACGTATTCAACTTAATAATAATAATTATTATTATTATGTCCAAAGATTCGATATGAAAATACTATATTAACTAAAATTATTAACTAAGACGCGCGAAGGAGAGTGTTTACTTGTTTACTTACCAACAGCTTTGTTAGTGTGCTATGGTCAGTGTTTTAATTTGAGTCATCAACTATGCAGTTTAGGAATAGAATTATTTGTACTTTTAATTATAGATTTAATATTTAATTTTTAATCTTAAATAAAAAAGATGAGTAATTTATTCAAATAATTTTGGATTTGATTATGACCACATAAATATATTAAGACCACACATATATTAATTTTATCTTCAAAAACATTATTTTTATCTCACTTGACTATTAAAAATGTCTAATAACTAATAAAATAATTAATATTGATCATTTAACTTATTAAAATCAACTTAAAAATTGATAATTTTTAGACATTATAATTAACTATATTTTTTAAAAAAAAACTATGTATTAATAAAATATCAATTAAGTCAAACACACGTATTATTAATTGGGACACTAATTAGTACATATTTTAATTCAATATGTTATATAGTATATTCATTTTTTACTCTAAAATTAAAAATAAACAAAATTAAAAATATAATTATACATATAAGATACAAAAACTAATTATATCAATTATATTAAGTATTAAAATATAATATTTATATTATATTTTAATAACTAAACTAAAATAATTATTAAAAAATATATTAAACTAAATATATACTAATAATTTCCTTATTAATTATATGACTATTTTTTTATGACAAAAATAATAATTAATAAATTAATTTTATTAATTATTAGTAACTAAAAATTTAATTTTCTGATAAATATCTTACCTACTTCAATGAAACACGGCGGGTTATCAGACCGGTCGTGGAGTTCAATTATATGATTTTAATATGCTACTATAACCACACCAACGATTACGTTAGGGCACAACAGGTAGAGTCAAGGAAAAATCACATCTTACTGCAAACCCAGTCAAGAAAAAATCACGCATCACACTGCAATCCCAAAAACACCCTCGTTCAGCCCTCACCCAACGCTCCCCTTATAAAACCCCCCACACCTCCCATCAATCTTCACAGGCTTAGGCTAACTCTTCTTCGTTCATAACTTCTTGGTCTCACTACACCGTTATGGGCAATAACGGCGAGTTTGGACAAGTTGGATTCCAAACCAAGGATTACCATGAACCACCTCCGGCGCCCTTGATTGACTCTGGAGAGTTCACCCAGTGGTCTTTCTACAGAGCTATAGTCACCGAGTTTGTTGCTACCCTCTTGTTCCTCTACATCATTGTTTCAACGATTATTGGGCACAATAGGAACCAAAAGAACTGTGAAGGTGTCGGCCTTTTGGGAATCGCTTGGGCTGTTGGTGGCACCATCTTTGTCCTCGTTTACTGCACTGCCGGAATCTCAGGTCAATTTCTTTCTCACTAAATTGTAACAAATTTTTGTTCCCTGTTTGTCGGTGTGGACAATATTTAACGGTTTTTTTGGGTGAAATGCAAGTGCAGGAGGTCACATAAACCCAGCAGTGACTTTTGGGATGTTCCTGGCGAGGAAGGTGTCCCTTCCCCGAGCCATTCTGTACATGGTGGCTCAGTGCGTGGGGGCCATCTGTGGATGTGCGCTCGTGAAGTCATTCCAAAAGCCCTACTATAATTCGTTGGGAGGAGGAGCCAACGTAGTCTCTGAAGGGTACAGCAAGCGCACCGGACTCTACGCTGAGATAATTGGAACGCTTGTTCTTGTATACACCGTCTTCTCGGCCACCGATCCCAAAAGAAATGCCAGAGACTCCCACGTCCCTGTATGTACTCATTAATTATCAAAATCCCCTGTTTTCTTATCTCTGCTTTTTCTACAAGTAACTGATTGTTTTAATTAATTCGTTATTCCAAGGTTTTGGCTCCACTTCCAATTGGGTTTGCCGTGTTCATAGTCCACTTGGCCACCATCCCGATAACCGGCACCGGCATCAACCCTGCTCGGAGTTTGGGAGCTGCCGTGATCTTGGACAAGGAGGTGTACTGGGCAGACCAAGTATATATAAACTTCCCCTTGCATAGTTTGATCCTAATTAATTTTCTCTTTCTGTTTTTATCTTGCCCTAATCTAACATTTGTCTTGTCCAAATGGTTTCAGTGGATCTTCTGGGTCGGACCCATGGTCGGAGCCGCCATTGCCGCCTTCTATTATCAGTTCGTCTTGAGAGGAACGGCTGTAAAAGCTCTTGGGTCCTTCACGAGTAGCAGAAATATTTAAATTTTGTAGCATTTCCGTTTCTTTGCGAACTTTGTACACTAGGTGTATGTTGTCCCTTGTCTTTGTATCAAGGAACTAATTTATCATCTTCCTAAGAATAAATATATCATCACCTGTTTTTCCGATGTCTGTCATGGTAAAACTATTCAGATTTGTTTCACTTGTTAGGGCCCAATCAATACTTAAGCCCCAAAACTTGTTTTTTTTTTTTAAATGTTGAGTTATGCCGGGGAGATAATTTTTTTTATTACTTAATCCATCTCGCCCATATATAATGTAATTAAAATTTAAAATGTTTTATTTATATTAAAATAAAATTATTATTAAATTATTTAAATTTATTAAAAAAAAACCCCTAAATTTTTTAAAATAAAAATTCTCAATTTTACTGACTTATTAATAATTCAATTTTACTTACACACAATAATTCAAGCTATTGCCCCCAACTCCGGGATACGTTTTTGAAAAACAAACCCTTCAAACAGGGGCAAGATTTAGCCATGTAAGCTTTTCTCCTTTTTTTTTTTTTTTTGGCCGAATATGTAAGCGTTTTTTAAAACGGAAAAGTCACCCCTCTGTTGCTCACTCAAGACATTTAGTTAACTTTAATTTCGTCACTAAACTTTTC